TACAGTTGGTGCCACTTCCTTTCCTGGTGTATATGAGTGTGGTGTTCTCTTCAGGTGGGTGCAATTGGCTCCGATACTCTGATGGGTCTCAAGTTGGGTGCAGGCAGGTCTGAGGCAGGTCTCCAGGTGGGTGAGAGCAGCACTGGCGCAGAGATGTCAGCAGACTCTGGGTTGTTTGGTCCTCAGGGGTCAAGTTGTCCTGGGGAAGATCCCTGGGCAGGGTTTGCCAGGGTGAGCAGGTGGAAGTTGGGCCCAAGTTAGGAGTTACCTCTGGACTATCCACACTCTGTGTGGGTCGGAATGGCCCAGTGACCTCAGTAGAGACAGTATCCCAGGGTCCTCAGGGACCGATTCAGTCTGCCTGCATATCCCGGGGCGGGACTTGCCCCACATTCTTTCTCTAAAAAGATTTATTTATTTGTATTTTAAGTGTTTTGATATCTTCCTTGCATTTACATCTATGCACCATGTGCATCCAAGTATGACTTTTTCAGAGTTCCATGATAACAGTTTCTTCTCCACCCCCATGTGGTAGTTCCTTCCTGCTGCTAACTTTGGGATGCTTCACTCATTATTATTGGTTGGTTTTAATCCTACACAAGCTTCTGTAAATGGCCCTTTTCATGAAACAATTTTCAATGACCTTTCTGAATGTGTATTTTCTGATGAGACCCTGACTGGCACAGACCCAGTTGAAATAGCCCATGAGAGTGATGATAAAGTTTTGCATTAATAAACCATTACAGAGATTAAGAAAAGGACATGCTTTTGAAATTACTTTCTAGACCCACTCAGAGGTTGCATGGTGATCAGGTGTGAATCTGTAATAGCTGGTGACAAGGGTGGCTGGAGTTAACATCACTACCTTCCCTAACTCTTCCTGCCTGGGAAGTGAGTTCTAACAGGCAATTGTATAAAATGTCTTCTTCCTCCTCAGTGAGGCCAAGTCATTTACAAACTCATCAGAAGCTCTCTCTGGATTTTAGCAAATAATCTACTGGAGGGTCAGCTGGTGCTGTGGAAGCAGAAAGCTGGTTAGTTAGCCACTTGGGAGATGTTACCAGGATGGCTGGAGATCAGAAGCACTGCTTATTTTCATAATGACCTTCAGGAATTAAATAAAAATACAATGAGTGCCATAGATTAGGAAGAACAAGCCAATTAAAAGCATAACACGCCTTAGGGATTTTTATTTCTTTTCCAGGAGGCTGAAAGGCATCAGTGGCCTCTGAGGCACAATGGCAGGCTACCCAGAATTACTGATGAAGGTTGATCCTCTTGCTTGGCTTTGTAGGATGGTTGAGGGGATTTGATGCTGTTGAATATTTCACAAGTTGCAGCCCATAGTGGGAGAACGGAGAAAGGTGAAAAGGCAATCTCTGTGTTTCTTTATGATTCCAATATAAAACCAAGCTGCACTGAGTGGGAGGGAGGCAGGCGCTGGAGTCAGCCTACCACCGGAAGGCATGGTGCACCAATTCTCCCACTTTAATATCTGCTGTTTCATTTTATATTCATCATGTCAGCATAATCTGCCTTTATGGGAATCATCTTGGTTCCCGACCAAATGCGTTTAGTCTCCCTTTGCTTTAAGTTTGATTGTAATATGACTTGAAGACTTCAATGAAATGTTTATATGGAGGGACCAGGGGAAGAAAAAAGGGAAAATGCAATTGGAAAATCAATCAGCAGGGAATTTCAAGAGCTGGCATTGCTCATGCTACAATTTCTTTGACCAGTTTTTTAATGGACACCAGACTGGCTCTCTTATCAAGCTTGCTCTGCCAGTTCCTTACTGCATGCCAAATACAGTAGGTGCTTCAACACAAGTACTGAAATACCTACCTCTGTTGGATTTGCATTTGTTGCACTCTTGCTTGTATATCTCACTCCATTTCGTGGTTTTTGCAGCTGGTCCTTGACTTATCACCTCTGAAGAACAACAACATCTGTCCTCAACTTATGCCCATGCCACTCTGTCTGTAAGAAATTCTTGGTACATAAGCTTACAGAGTCCCTTCTTGACTTTAAGTTCCCAACAGATATTTCTTCTTTTTTTAATTCTCTGATGAGACTTAACATCCTGAATTATATTTTTACTAAGTCTACCATCATATTATAGACATGTATAAGTATCTATATGCATATATACACATATGTAAATATACATTTACTTATAATTCATTCCAAAGATCCAGTAACTACTGAAAATTTATGATATGCCAAGTACTTTTCAGAATGCTTTAGAAATGGCGGGACATAAGGCATCCAAGGTCTCTGCTCTCCTTGAGAGACAGAATAAACACATATTCAAGTAAGTATTTCTGATAAATTTTTTATAGTAGCAAATGCTATCAGAAGTTTATGTGAAGGAAGCATAATAGAGATTGGATGTACTTAGAGAGGAGTCCTTCAGCTTGAGTGCTCAGACAGTTTCACAGAGCACGTGTCATTTGGACTGGGGGATTAATACTGAGAAGAAACCAATTTTTAAGCTCTGGGAGGAGAGTTCCAGGAAGATTGGACAGAAAATACTTATCCCCTGATACAAGAGCAAGCTCACACATTTAACAGACATATTAAGGCGTATTGTAGCTCGTGGTGAAGAGGATTGAGTAGGGAAGGGATAGTTCAGATAATTCAGAATCTCAGAGAATGTTCATGTATGTAGGTCATGACATGGGGCTGGGAGATAGCAGATTCCGTAGAATGTTTTTTTTTTTTTTTTTGTCAACAGACTCTGAGCTCGGGGCAGGCAATTCGTTTATCTCCATACTGTAAGCTGCTAAGTAGCCTGAAACTGTTTAGGACCATGATAAACTACAGTGAGTGAGTGAGTGAGTGAGTGAGTGAGTGAGTGAGTGAATTCCATGGATTTCTGCTTCCACTAAAGTAGTTTTCATTTTGTAGTCTCCTGTTCTTTCTCCTATTGCCCCAACAATAGTCTCTTTGTAATAGTGTAAGTCCAGAGCTATCGTCTGTGATTCAATATTTACTATGTTTCACACACTGTTATTATCGCTTAACATTTACTGTCTGCTGACTGTGCACTCATCGCGGTAGCAAACAAAGAGCTCTATCTAGTTTTGTTCATGGGCTAATTTAGTCAAGGAAAAGGAGATGCTGCAAGTGCAATTGGCATTGTAGAAATTGCTTTGACTGGAAATCCACCAAGTCCAGCTGAGAACAGATTCACCAATGGCCTTAACTGAGTCACTAAGCATCTGTAACCTTCTGTTGCTTAATGGGAACATGAGTGGGAAAAGCCTCATGCATGGGGGGATTTCACAGCTCCAGGAGACTGGAACTCAGATTCCCACCAGTATCCCTGAGCTTGTTCTGCTTGTCTAAACCAGGTAGTATCAGCTAGATGTTTCCTGCTTTGGTGATATTCTATAGATTTAGATTCTTCTGTGCTGATTTAGCTACAACTACTTCAAGTGTCAAACATCAGCCTATGTTTCCCAAGTCTCTAGTCAGATTCGATGCACTTAGCAAAAAGAGTAAAGTGTTAAGCAAGACCATTTATTATAATGCCTCCATAATATTGTTGTACAGTTGGCTGCTGCCAGAGAAGAAAGTCAGTATATCAAGTGCTGAGATTGGGAAGTGGGTTGGTGGCTAAACAGAGCACCTCCTCCACAGAGGAAGGAAAGTGCTCAGAAAGACCCAGCCAGAGTCTTCTACCTAAGAATCATAGGGCCCTTCAGGGTCATGGCTCTAAGAGCTGACAAACTTCTGTGGTTCCTTCCATCTCTGCTTATTTTTGACTAATCTTCAAGCAGTCCAAGACTGCACTTGGAATAATAATTCTTCATTTTCTGTCATTTTGACTTTTGTTTTGATTGAGGGAGAAGTCCCTGGAAGACTTTAGAGTTTGCTGATCAGTACTGTGAGATGGCTTGTGTTGTAGTTTCTGCTTGAGAATAAACAGGAAGGCAAGGGGGATGGAAGCAACCAAGACAAAAAATCGTTTGTAGGAAGCCATGAAATAAGGCTAATACTTCAGTCTCTGTGGTTGGATGTAGGGACAGAGAAGGCTAAAATGGTGACTGTCTTTTGAAGGATTCCTCAATGTACTGTAACACTGAAATGTACACTATTAAGGATGTCTTTATCCTTGTTTCATAGCAAAGGAAGACTGAATTATATCCTATCCATATTAATAATTATGATGATGATGATTATAAATCAATAACTAATTTAAAGATTCTTAACTAACTTTCTTCTTAGCTCTTACTAAGTGCCAGCCAATCCTCCTCTACCGATTTTTGATTTTTAACATCAAGAAATTAATGTCTTTTGGGATTGGAGTATATGAGGAAAATTTAGTTGGATATGGTTGAGCCAATGAGACACTTCGGTGTCACCAGATGAGATGAGGGATGCAACTGTGCCATGAGAAGAGATGATTGGATAAGAAAAAGCTTGAATTTGACCTGTCTCATCAGTCCTTATCTCTGTGTTAGAATATACACGTGACCTTTGGGCATTTGTCCAGCCCCTCCTCAAATGGCTTTGACCCTAGTTACTGCACCTGAGTCATACTCTCTTTTGGATCTTTTAAGCTCCAAGCTTCTACCCTGAGGATTTCCAGATCAGAGTCTGTGAAATGTAAACACAAACTTAAGCATGTTTCTCTCTTTATTTTCTGCTAATGGTACAGCCTCATAAAACCAGAGCCCCTTTATCCTTTTGTCTAGTTTCACTCTACTGTGGGAGAAGAATTATCCTTTAATATATGAGATCTTGGGAAAAAGTGCACCAGACACACCAAGATCAAGTGGTACTTCTGGTCCTATGTGGTTAAGGAGTATCTTGGCCATGCTTTCCCATCTCTAAATGGAAGCGGTGACTCCTGGATCATAGGTGATAGAAGGAAACACATCTTGACACATTAATTGGCTTCTGAGTTCATGACTGTGTGAAGCAGCTTTGCTCCCAAAGCACAGAAGCCTGATACGTATCTCACCCAGAGTTTTTGGTCTTGTCTTACAGAGATGTCTGGCACAGCAGCAGATATTTCTCTGGTGCACTGGAGACAGCAGTGGCTGGAGAATGGCACACTGTATTTCCATGTCTCCATGAGCAGCTCTGGGCAGCTGTCCCAGGCCACAGCTCCCACACTCCAGGAGCCCTCAGAGATCGTCGAGGAACAGATGCATATCCTTCACATTTCTGTGATGGTGAGTGGCTGTGCATGTGATGAAGGTGGGGACAGGAAGAAGCATGGGATTGTACACAGATGGGAGAATAAGAGTATGCCAGTAAGAGGGCAATGTGATCTTCAGAAGATCAGGTGAATTCTGTGCTGTTGCCTGGATTGACACAGTCACATCTGTCAGCTATGACAAACTAATTTTGCTTCAGAGGAAAAAATAAAGGGTATCCAAGTCTTTGGTCCTTTGGCTGACATGTATGTTTAACATCTGTTCCATGCTTGCCTTGCTTGGAAGAGGGTTGGGTTCTTGTGCTCCTAAATACAACTGGTCTCTCTAAGAATTGCTAAACAAAGTTGGAGCAAAACTGGAACAGGAGGATGCTCTTTCCTACGTGCCCTAAAAGAGCTGCTTTAGGGCTCACATCTACTCTAAGGTGGAACCAAGAGTTGTGCCAGATGTAGCCAGTGCAGCACCTAGGATGGTACCTCTATTCCTCTCACATTCTAGTTGTTGAGAACTCTGGCAGGGGGGGAGAAAAAAATCAAACTTACCCAATGTGCCATAGCCTGCAAGCAATACCACTGCTCTTGAGTATTCAAACCAGCACTGAGTCCTATAGGCTCTGTTGTCTCTCAAATGGAGATTTTCTTGTCTATCTCTCATTTGTTCAGTATTGTGCTGTATACTATTATAAAATTCCCCTCATTGTAGCAAACCAAGAATGCGTAAAGCATAGCACATCACATGCATATTAGAAATAAAATTAGGAGCACAGAGAAGCAAAGGGATCTTCTAAGTCTGCTGAATGACACAACTCTGTGACCCGTTGTCGCCTCTGTAGATGATGCTGGGATCAATTGAGCAGTCTCCTAATAACAGTTTCTTTTAAAAAAGTTAGAATTCATGGTCTCTCTCTCCTCTCTCTCTCTCTCTCTCTCTCTCTCTCTCTCTCTCTCTCTCTGTGTGTGTGTGTGTGTGTGTGTGTGTGTGTGTGTGTGTTCCTCTGTTGTATGTGTGGGGACCAAGTAGCACCTACTCTATCTCTCTTTACTTTGTTTCTTGAGGCACAGTATCTCACTGAACCTGAAGCTCATTGATTTGCTAGACTAGCTGACCAGCAGCGTCTAAAATTCTAATTCACTGGTTCCTGATGCTGGACTACAGGTGCATTTTATCACACCTGGCTTTTAAATATGGATTATTGGGAAACAAACTCAGGTTTTTTGTATTTGTAAAGCAAGAACTCTATCAACTTTATCATATCTTCAGGCCTGCAATTTGTGTTTTTGCATTGCAAACAGAAAAGTAGCAACAGACATATCTAGTATACAGAAAGCATATGTGGTAGGCTTGGGGTGACATTTGATAAGCACAATGCCAGTTTTTCCATAATATTATACTTTTTGAAGCCAATCTTAAGTCATTTCTTTCCATGTAGCCTTTAGAATGGATCTAGTGAATAAATAATAATAGGAAATTATCCCTAACATTTATATAGAGAGAAACAGAGCACAGAGCTCAGAAAGATGAATGATCTGCATAAATACCACTTCTTACCTCTTTAGTTCCTCCTTCCATCAAGAGTCACTATTTAGTGAGATTCTACAGAAGAAGAGAACTTTTTTTCCTCCTCAGCCACCACTGCAATAGATGTTCTGATTAGGACTGAGTGAGATCGTGGAATTTTCCTCTTCTTGGAAAAAACATACGCACACCCCAGCCAAATAGCAATGTTAATTTTGGACCTAACGAGTGCTCATCACGTGGAGGAACAAATCAAGGCCTTTGTGTTATTCACGGAATGTGTGTGGTAGACTTTTTCCATATATATATTTAGCAAATGATGCAGCCACATGCCAACCCAAGTGGGTGCATGCATGCTAATTTTGGGGTGCAAATTTGTAAACATAATTTCAGTGTGCTTGCTCAGTTCCTCATGGGCTTTGAAGTATCATCTTATTTTAAGAGTGGTTGAGGGTGTAACTGCTCTTCTGCCTTTAATGTTTGGGCATGAGACCCAACTTTGATTCATATTTATTAGATACTTTCCATCTTGTGCAATAATGTTTACTTACATACATTTTCCTTGTAACCCAGTAACCTATATCAGATTATCTCAATTATAAATGAGCCTTGGATGTACCTTTTCTGATTCCAGGCCCAGTGTTGGTTCCAGTAAATCAGTCTCCCCAGGATCACATCCCTTACCTTTTTTTCTTTGCTCAGCAAATTCAGCTTGAAAAGAATAACTCAACATGAACCAGATGTCACTAAAATTCCCTGCAGAATTTACCAGCAGAGGAGGGAATGGAGAGGCTGACATACTCTACACACACACACACACACACACACACACACACACACACACACACACACACCTATAACATGTGGTCCACTAGTTAGGAATCTAAATAGATTTTTACTGTCTCCTTCTTACCCCCATGGACCACTTACATCTTGCAGACACTGATGGCTATTTCTTGAGTGTGGCTTTTCAAACATGGGGCTACTCCTGGGGATATTGCCAGCCCCAGAGCAAGCATAAAATGCTTTTCCCAGTACCCACTCTAGGGGGTCTTGTACAGACTGTTTATTTCTCTTGTTTTGTCATATATGGAATAGAGGCTGTGCTGATATATACAACTATACCAAGCCATTAAACTAGAAAAGCTTGTATCAGAGCCACATAAGGGCATTTGCTTTTATTACTGGTGGTAGTTCAGTTGAAAAGGTAGAGATGGTCTGATTTATTATACTCTCCTAATTTCTGAATGGGAAAATTGAAGTCCACTTCATTGCCTGCAGTACCTTGAACAGCCAGAGGTTTAAAAACCATGGTCTCTGTACTTGTTCTCATTGCTAAACACCAGCACAGCAAGAACACAAAGGGAAGCATTTGTTTTTGTGACCATTGAGAATGGATTCCAGGATGACTGGAGTCTGTCCTCTCATCTGTAAGGTGAGAAATCTGAGACTCAGTAAATGTACTTGGTCATGACTCTATGATGTGGAGGCAGTTCTGGGGCCATGCTTTCCCTAACTCCAGGCACATGCCACATGGTTACTGAATGAGCCATGGTTTTCATCTTTGGTAAAGGTTGAAGATAGTTTGTAAGAAGACCAAAGGCATGCAGTGAAGTCTCAAAGAAGGATGTGTGGAGGTAAAAAGCCACAATTTGTGTTTCCCTCCCTCATCATGAAGGAAAATCACTTGCTTCTACTTCTACATACCCCTACAATCTATGGCTATGTAGGTGGACCCAAATGTTCCTAGGGTTTCCAAGATCCTGAATTGAGCAGCTCCCTAATCACCAAATTGTCCACCATCTGATTATCAGTATCCCAAAGGATGGTGCAACAAAGTTGTTCTCAGTGAACTTGGGCCAGAGAGGCAGAGTGTCTTCTCATTCTCCCACACTGACTAGCCTTAGCTGCTGTCAGCCTCAGCCATACAGGAAGCTAAATGCCGAGAAGAGAGCAGAGGTTTGGTATTAAGATAGGCTGGTTGTGAATGTAACTTCCCACCTTTTGCCCATCTTCCCCTTACTTTTACCTTGACTGAGTCCCTTAACATTTCTCAAACTCTGTTTTCTTTTCTATAAAACCATACTGATTATATCAATCTCAAAGAGTGAAGAGAATATAAAAATAGTACTTAACATTAGTATGCATGATATATAGTGAGTCCACAGAGACAGTGGCTATTAGTATTACCATTGCAGCAGTGAGTATTTGAACAAGTGTAAAGACAATGGCCTTGTTTTTTGTGCTGCTCTATTGCTGTCTGATGTAGAGGAAATTGTCAAAATCACCTGACATTTCTTTTGAGTATTTACTATCTGCTGGGCTGTTTTGTAAATTCTTTTTTTTTCTTTTGGTTTTTTCGAGACAGGGTTTCTCTATGTAGCTTTGGAGCCTATCCTGGCACTCGCTCTGGAGACCAGGCTGGCCTTGAACTCACAGAGATCTGCCTGCCTCTGCCTCCCGAGTGCTGGGATTAAAGGTGTGCACCACCAATGCCCTGCTTGTAAATTCTTTTTATATGTGCATTATAACACAGTTTTTGCTAGATCTCAAAGTGGGCGCTATTTCAAAAAAGCCCATAAATACTAATAAAAATAGTTACATTATACTTTGAGGATGCAAAGGTTAAATGGTAAAAACTAATGCTTTACTAAAGCCTCATTTCTGTTTCTCGAATATATAATATATAGACTAGTGTGTCTCTTCTTTGCATTAGCTTAAATTCTATGATACCATGAGTGAATTCTTAAAATTAAGCCCCCTTATGTGGAATTCATAGGCAGATTAATAAGGTTTATGGTTTAGAAGTCAACTCCAATTTGAATACTGTTTCTGTCCTTAGTTTTATATCTTTGGCCAAATCACCTCTGTCACTTATAAAATTGGGGTGATCCACTTCTTAAGAGTGTTTTCCTAAGTGTCAATTGAGGTCACACTCTCTTCCCTCTGCAATGAATGGTGATGACTACTGGCATGGGGTACTTTCTCAGCCAGGCAGTCTAAAGGCAACACTTGTATCATTCTGCTTAATAGCTTCAAAGCCTCTAAAAGAAGATGCTGTGTTCACCCTGTTTGCAGACGAGGAACCTGGCAGTTTGTGAGATTATGAAGCCTATTCATGCACATCACCAATAAATGCTGAATCTGAGATTGCGAGTCCTGTCTGTCCAAATTGAGAGTCTGTGTTCTTGGGCATGATTCTTCATGGCATAGTGCCTGACATCCAGTTAGTGCTCAAAAAGCAAAAGCTGTTATTAAAATGTTAGTTGGAGCAAGGGTCTATCATGCCTGATATTTATGCAGTACTCACTCCAGTGCTCAAAACACTTGATAGAACCTGGAAACTTGTCAGTTTGAGAGAGAGGTGTTGCTCATGCCAACAGTTTATCTATAGGAGCAAAGAAAGCTACAGGAAGCTGAGCACTTTGCCTTCAGGTACAGAGTCAGAACAAGGTCTTGGCTTGACTCCTGTAGGTACCTTTTGCATTCTTAGTCAGCAA